GTGCTATTTGGGGTAATATACAGAATACAACAATCATCAAATTACATGTTTAAAAAGAGCAATTCAATTTTCGTATAAAATTAATTTACATGTAGAATTGATCATTCCAATTTTTCTACAGACACGGTACTGCAGCATTTGATCCAACATGGAGCATCCGAACAATTTCTTAACTGAAATGCATTACCGTATTCACTATTCTGATGTCAATGCCGCCGGTGCCTGTGGGACAGCTGGTTCCAAGGAAGCACTGACACTGCTGATTCACGATGGCAGCTGCAGAAGACGATGAAACACATCAGGAAACATTGATGCAATAGTTCGTAAATGAAATGTGTTAACGTTTTAGAAATTTTTTTAATACCTTAACACATTTAAATACCTATAAGGTAATCTTCAAGGTACACTTCTCACTCATACACGTAATTGATAAATTTATTCGTGTATATTATTTTTTTCTACTATATTTTATATTTTAGTAGTATTTCTCATTTTTCATAAGCTCTTACGTAATACATGTATATTTAGTGTAACGCATACTTGTTGCCATTGAGGTGTCAAAGGACATCTGCGCAAAGACAAGTGTTTGCTGCAACAGCTGGCACAACGGCAGCAGAAGCAGCAAGACGTTATTCATCTTGAAGACCCGAGATCGCCGAGAGAAGAGAGAGAAACAGTTGATTACACACCGCTGTGGACGAAACTGACTGACAACAAATAAAACACGAAGTGCGACTTACAGGATTTATATACATATATATGTATATGCATAAATGCATCAGTGCGTTGCGAAGCACCACTTCCGTTTTTTATAACTTTGAGGGAAACATATTAGTTCGCGCATCCAGCCGGACGAGATATAATGCATGACCTTTCACGGCGCGCTAGAAACGAATGGTTCTCGGTAACGTCACTCGGTGGATCCTCCGAGCTACGTTACGTGCAAAATATCTAGCACATGGAAAAAAAAAGAGCGGAGAAGTAAATTGCTTCCGATTATAATTACAATTACGTGTGTAAAATAATCAGTAGTACGTGCGCTGGTAATAGGCGCCCGGTGGAATTCCCGGCGGATCCAAATAGCCGCGCGTCCACTTGACGCGGAGAGAAAGAGCAAGGCCATCCCCGTCTCATTGACAAATAGGCGACGAAGGTCAATAATCAGGAATCACCGGTGCGAGCAAATCGTGAATCACGCATCGCTGATCTCATTCACCATTATGCGGTAAAACACGATGTTGTAAGAAGCATTGTCTCACAAATGGATTTATAAATCATCTCGCCCTGTACTTGACACTCGTGGCAAGAGCTGTTACGTGAGCGATGGATGCTACGGCGTGGAATCAGGTTTACAAAAAAAAGCGGCATCTTCTGTGTACTCCGGCTTGGCGTACAAATTTATCAAGGGAACTGAAAATTTAGTACTTAAAAAGTTTATCAGATCGATAAAAGCGAGAAATATATATACGTACGTCAAAGTCGCTAGTCGTTTATCGATCGTGTCGACAAGACTGTTCGAACTGTGCGAAGAAGCTGCAACGGAAATCGGGGGAGATCCGTGGAAACGTGAGAGAAACGTACTTGTATTCGTTCTCCTTTTCGCTTCACGCTTATGTGCTAATCGGGACGCTAATGAAGTTAATCAGAGCGAATTGATGAGATTGTTGAAGGAGAAAACGACTCTTCCACTGCCCTTGATATAAATTTATTTCTATAAATTAATGAAAAATAAACAATCATAAACACCATCGCTTAAAATTCATACTGGAACAGTAATAACAGAGAAAAATAACATAGCCCCATGATACTCCAATCATCCGTAGATATTATGGAATGCTTAGATCCAGGGTTGGGTAAGTTACTTTTGTTTTTTAACCAAGTTAAATTTAAATTAACAGTCTTAAAAATTTAACTTAGTTAAGATACAAGTTAACCCATAATGAAATTAATTGAATTAAAAGTTAAGTTAAAAATAAAAAAGTTAAAAAAAATTGATCAATTACAGTCGATTATTCTTACGACTGTGACTCTGCGACTCGCATTGTAGACCCCACATAAGTCTATGCTCGCGACACCTTTGGTTATGGCATGACAAACTACAAGAAAGGTAAATTCAAAGTTAAAAGTTTTCCCGCAGAGGGAAAATACAAAAAAAAAGTTAAAGTTACCGATAAAATGTAACTAAATTAAGTTAAAAGTTAACAGTCTATAATGTAACTAAGTGTTAAGTTAAAATTATTTAACTTTTTAACTTAACTTTTAACTTTTTAACTAGACACTACCCAACCCCGCTTAGATTATTCGCATTTGCGCAGAGTCCAGCCTATACGTCTCGTGTACCCACGTCGGCGAGTTAGCGCGACCACATGTAAAAGTACGTACTCTGCATATACGGTAAGTTCTTTTTAACGGCACTCGCCAAGTACTTGGCGAGAGGCACCGAGGTAGATATCGTGTCAAACAGCGCGTTTATCTTATCGCGGCTATACTTGTCGTAGAACGGCGATCTCAAGATGTACAACAGCAAGCTCAATCTTCGACGCACGAGCTCTTCTTCCTCCTCTTTGCTGAACAATGCTTTCTTGGCGCAACGCGCGAAGACATTTAAGCTGCACAAACGACAATATTCCAATATAGAAGATCGATTTATCGATTACAGTATAACGGCTTATGATGTTTACCTGGCTAAATCGATAATAAGCGACAGTATCCATGGCGGCCAACGTTTCTGGCTGGTAATGTACATACATCCGAGATGAAGCAGTGGCTTTGTCACGTAAAGACTCTAGAAGTCATACATTTTGTTATGTTTCTTTCCACATTAGCATACAATCATGAAATTATATAAAACATATGTACAATCAATTTTTTAAATACTCGTATAAAATAAGAAAATACAATGAAAGAAAACTAGCAAATATATAGATAACAAGTCAGAATAAATTTCTATAAAGGTACAATAAAACTTATTGTTAGCAACGATTGTCATTTCTATTTCAACATTCAGCAATCCAGACGTGTGTCTATTATGAGAGATTTGTGATAATACTTTGATTTTATAAATTCCAGTATATATTTTGACTTTTCTATTGCACTGAGCATTTTTATCATTAATCACATTATGTAGCACGTGTGTATATTGTATTTCAACTACCTCAGCTAGTTTTAGATTCCTCTCGGATTCCTGGTTTTTGGTCAAATTCTCATTCTCGTCTGTGACAGGAGGCAGAGCCTTCCACGTTCGTATCTCTATAGGAGCCGAGTATTTTACGCTTCGAACAACGGTGCCCGACCTCTTCAGCGTAAAGCCCTCCTTCACTTGCGCACTGTCGATAGTTTTATTGAACTTGTCTCTGTTGAGCGGCGGCGTCGCCGGGCTCTTCGTCACGCGTTCCTTGTACACATGAATTAACAACAGTCGCAATATGGACCTGGAACAAATAAACGTTGGTCGACAACGCGAGAGGAGACTCGACGTCCTTCTTGTGCCAAGACCACGAATGCACGAGTTCTCATTTCCCAAGTAAAGCAGGACGAGAGTTTTTCTTTTCCCCAACCGTACGCCAAAATAATAAATGCAGCGTAACAACACGGTGATTAGACTTTAGGCTCAATTCACGTTGTTTCCGATTACATTTTACATCGAATCGTGAATCTCCTCTTTGTAATAGATAACGCCATCTCAACACACGTCTCCATGTAATCTTTCGAATCTTAAGCCCGTTGCAGACGATGCTATTTCTCCTGCTGGATTGCTTGCAATTTAGTAAATTACTATCATTGCACCACTCAGCATTCAGGATTCCTAGTAATTTACTAAATTGCAAGCAATCCAGCAGGAAAAATAGCATCGTCTGCAGCGGGCTTTAGCTAAAACAGTTGACGAAAGTCAGTCGCTATTGAACTGCCGAAGGTGGCAGACGTGTAGACATTCGGCTAGATAACATTAGACTGTACAAGTGTCTCTCAGTGCGAGACGTCCGCTCCGATAACGGATTTACTTAAATACATTGTTAATTCTAACAGTATCTCGGTATATGAAATTATTGTCATCCTGATAAATTCCAAATCTGCAATTACCAAGGGTCTGTTCTTTATTGCTGCACTCCTGAATGCACACTGGTGCAATGAGTTGGAATGAGAGGTAATCTATTTGTTTCATTTTAACTTGTTGCACTAGTTCAGTAGTGCAGTAATAAAGAACAGGCCTCTAGTATTCACTACTTGGTCGCACACACTATTTGTCGAGTGGCACATTCGTGGTATCGGCGCAAGAGAGGGACGACACGCCGTCGAAATGAAGAGGCGCCGAATGCTTACTTGAACAATTGTACAATTACAATTATTAACCACCTCCCCTTTGGCCCCCACAACTTCTTGGCAGACACCTCGAGCAGCGTCTCGGTGTACTCCACCACGGTCAGCCAGATCTTGATCTTCGAATCGAACTGGGGTATCCTCAAGTGCTGGCGTCTGCTACTGTACATGAGCAGGTCGTTGCAGAGGACAATTAGATTTGGCATGGAATAAATGAGCTCCACGGCCAAGGTCGAGTCGCGGAATTGTCCTGCGAAGAGCATACATTTTAGTGTCTCTCGCGCGCGCGGGGCAGCGGAGCGTGAACGGGACGTGCGAACGGCTCGTGTTTCTAACCAAAGCTGAAATAAGACAGACATCTGACGGTGGCCTCGATGTCTGTCAGTAGCTGCGGATTCGCCACGATCCAGCTCTTGTAGGACTTGAGTAGATTGTTTAACGTGGAGTTGACACAGCTCGCCATCTCGCCGTCGTGTTGTCTCAGATTTTCTTTACAGCGAAGTACCCGGTAAACAGTTGAATTCTGCTTATCTCATTAAGAAAACGTAAATCATCATCCCGTCGGGCACGTAGAAGCTGCCATGATTTGTTTCGATGGTCGGATCGCGTTGGATTGGCTGGAAGACAATTTCCGACGAATCCAACGAGTCAAAAATTCTATTCCCCCATTCCTGTTGCCTGGCATTTTGATAGGCTTCAATTTTGTTTCAACAAATTGCGCATTTTGTCCGGATTTTAGTGGCGGAGCCTGCATGTACGATGCACACATCTACTTAATTTACCTAACAAGATATGGCGAAAGGCTGATGGCAGACAACTATCCGTAAGTCCCAGTCTACAATAGATGATTTAAGCCCTAAGCTTTAAGAAATTGGCCAATCACGGTCAAGTATGAGTAGAATGCGCGACTGTGATTAGTCAATTTCTTAAGGCTTAGGGCTTAAATCTCTATTGTAGACTGGGACTAAGCGCTTAAGACTGACGTAGCCGTAGACTTAAAGCCTCGTCTACATAGAAGTCGTAAAGTCGTAGTCGTAAGAATAGCCGACTATGATTGGTCAATTCTTAAGCCTCCGCTACAATGATTCTCGGTTCTGTCTACAATGGTCGTAGTCGTAGTCGCTCGATAAGAATTGACCAATCACAGTCGATTATTCTTACGACTACGACCATTGTAGACAGAACCGAGAATCATTGCCTGCTGTCC